CACCCCTCTTAGGGCCCCGACGTCCTCATCGGCACACCACGACCAATGTTAGGCTCTGATACCAAATTGTCACATCCCGGCCCGGGGCAGATCACTTCCCGGGCTCGCTCCACCACCGTAGCAAGATATTATCCGCTTTGAGCTTACCATTCCCTCACAATTTTGTTTTTGAGAACTCACGAGCAACTGCCTAGTGGGTCACCCATCATGGAATTGCTTTAGCCCCATTCTCGCTTAACTTCGGAGTTCCAATCGAACCCGAAGCCAGTGAACTCCCAAAAGGCCTTGTGCTAGGTAGGGATGGAAATATACATTTAAGGATCACTCCCCTAGGCGATGTGGGATGTCACAATCCACCCCCTTAGGGGCCCGACGTCCTCGTCGGCACACACGCAGTCAGGGTTAGGCCCTGATACCAAATTGTCAGATCTTAACCCTGGCCGCGTGTGTGCCGACGAAGATGTCGGGCCCCTAAGGAGGTGGATTGTGACATCCCACATCGCCCAGGGGAGTGATCCTTAAATGTATATTCCCATTCCTACCTAGCACGAGCCTTTTTGGGAGCTCACTGGCTTCGGGTTCCATCGGAACTCTGAAGTTAAGCGAGAAGGGAGCTAGAGCAATCCCATGATGGGTGACCCACTGGGAAGTTACTCGTGAGTTCCCAAAAACAAAACCGTGAGGGAATGGTAAGCCCAAAGCGGACAATATTGTGCTACGGTGGTGGAGCGGGTCTGGGAAGTGATCCGCCCCGGGCCAGGATGTGACAATTTGGTATCAGAGCCTAACCTTGGTCGTGGTGTGTCGACGAGGACGTCGAGCTCCTAAGAGGGGTGGATTGTGACATCCCACATCGCCCAGGGGAGTGATCCTTAAATGTATATTCTCATCCCTACCTAGCACGAGGCTTTTTGGGAGCTCACTGGCTTCAGGTTCCGTAGGAACTCCAAAGTTAAGCGAGAAAGAGGGCTAGAGCAATCCCATGATGGGTGACCCACTGGGAAGTTGCTTGTGAGTTCCGAAAAACAAAACCTTGAGGGAATGGTAAGCCCAAAGCGGACAATATCATGCTATGGTGGTGGAGCGGGCCCGGGAAGTGATTCGCCCCGGGCCGGGATGTGACAATATTTTTAAACATTTTAATTTTATATATTTAGTTATTATTTCATTTCAATTTCATATAATTTTAAAAAAAAACCTATTAAATTAACTATTAAGTAATGTACAATGAAAATGGTTCATATTTGTGCTAACGTGATTGTCAACTTAATGCCGCATGGCCAAACTATTAATAAAAAATAGAGAACTTTAAAGAAAAGTCCATGTACTGTTCACTTTAACGAAAAACCATATTTTTATACTAAAAAGTCAATCATGGTACTATTTATTTTACCATTTATTTTATTTTTATCGTTAAAATTTAAACTTTTCAAACATTTTTTATATTCAAATATGAAAGAGTACTTACTATAGTTAAAAAAAGAATTATATTTTACATCTTTTTCCTTCACAGATTAACATATAAAAAATTTATTTTCTAACTTGTCCTATGTTGCATACTGTTGACTGTCACATCAACAAAAGTGGAATTCGCAGTTGCTGCACCATCACTTTAGTACCTTTTTTTTCTTGTCGAATTACTTTATGAAAAAGAATCCACGCCAGATTTTTTTAAAAAAATTCTAGAAATTAAGTAATTATGTTCGTTAATTGTATACATTATGTAGTCAGTTTTTATTAAGTATTATTTATATTTGAATATTAAATTTTAAATGATTTCTGATCATGCGATGTACACTGAATGAAAATTCGTTTCCCAATTCAGCCTGAAGTATCGTGAAATTTGTACCCTTCTGCCCTTAATTTTTGTTTCATACCAAAACTTCTATTTTTTTTTAACATTTTCATAATTTCTTTAAGCTTTCCGTCAAATTATCCATTAAGCGATGTTGTGGCATAATTTTTGGCACAACATATTTGCTACATGAATGAGGATTCTTGTAGATAGCCATCATGTCTAGTGCTAATTCTTAGCAATATGATGGCAAATATGGTACACCAAAATTATGTCACACTATCATTTAACGAGAAACTTAACGGAAAATTTAACAAAAGTATTAAAGTGTAAAAAAAATCAAACTTTATTGATTCTGAGACAAAAAACCTAAGGATAGCAAGTACAAATTTCACAATAGTTGATGGTAATAAAGTGCAAATTACCCTTTTTTACTTGGTCTATTGATAATCAAATTTCTGGCTTAGATTAACACTAGAGATTCACATTACACACAAAAATAAACTCATTGAGGATGTGTGTTCCATGCAAGTAGCTCTTTACCACAATGGTAAAGAGGATTTGGGTATAGTCGTGCAAATTCGAACTCCATCTGCAGCTAATCTAGCTAAATCTATCGTTTGACATAAAAATAAATAAAAAATAAAAAATAAAAAATAAATAAAAAAAGAGAATGTAATCATTTAGTACCATGGTCAGGTAGTATTCTTCTGCACTTTTAAGTGAGAGGTTTTAGGTTTGAATCTCGTGATGACGAATTCGATACCAATTTAAGTTGCTCATAGTGTGACTTCCAAACTTCCTCTTTTCTTAGTGTAAAATATATCGTTGTACAAAAAACAAGAATGTGCGTCCCATAACCTATGCCGTGCATTCACTTGAAGAAGCTTGTAACTCAAATTGTCAAGCGCATTCACCGGTGGACTTTTAAGTAATGAGTGTGCGGACATCTAAAATATCTACCACGACTCCATTGTCAATTTTCGCAACGAAACGTATCCAACATGCAAACGTAAAAAGACAAAAATCTCAACAAGTGTGGACGTAAAAATAAAGACAATAGAAACTAGGAACTCAAGTCTTGAACGAGGCATGCTGAGATGACCAATCAATCACCAACTTTAGGTTGTTTTGTTTAGCATTTGGTTACTTTGAAAACGGGTTTGTGATCCCTTTTCCAACTTTTGAAAATATACCAAGGAATGACAGACTCTTTTGATGCATCCAAAACATACAAAATGAAGGTTTTGCATCCCAAATTTTTTTTAAAAACAATGCACTCCATGGAGAGGGAAATGAACACCGGCAGCTGCGTCTACCGAAAAACAATTGTTCATTGAACCTAGTTGCACCATCCAAGAATGAAAGTTGTTCTCATCTAACCCTAGCATTTGCTCCAAATACAACATTTAAAGGTTGTTCTTACCAAATAATAACAAATTCCTAGATCTGATAAGACTTTCTGCAAAAAAATTAACAGTTAAATGATGACAAGTTATATATATGCCTTGGAATTCTCCTCCATAAGAGGCAAAGCATTACGTTTGCTGGTTCATAATACAGGATATTAAATTAGTCCCCACAAGGATCATTTCAAACCATGTCAGAATTCTAAAGCCCCAAATGTATGAGATGCAGGCAACCAAAATACAGAACATTTCATAGATACAGAATTCTAAGAAACAAGGGGGAGGGGAAAGTCAAGGCCAAAGAACAAAAGACAAATACGGGGTAGACAAGACAAAAAACTACAGACAGGTGCTAAGGCACAAGGGGAATGTGGAAACATGGCAAAAAAACAACATGAAATATCAGGGGTACAATTGTCCCGTTGTGATCTTCAATCTAGACCAAGTTGAAGTGGGCTCGGGCAAGTGGGTCAACCAGAACGATTAGTAAAGGGATTTGCCTACTACAATACAAGTCAAAATATGGAACTCTTGTTTGAGAACTTAGGGCTAGGTTAAGCTAGGCAAGTGCCTACGGCTATTAGGACAAATGAAGTAAGGCAATCCGCACACAAAGAAGGCCTAAGCATCCAGGGAAGCTTTAAGTTGTAAAGTTCTTCTCTTGTTTTCTTAGATATTCATTTCTCCTACATATATGAAATGACATGAAGGAAAAGAAAAGAAGTTCGAACAAGCATCCGAAAACAAAGGATAACCTTACAAGTTTACTACCTAAAACCAAACAAATGTGAGGTGCCTTGGATATGCTTACTACCTTATGTTTAAATAAAAACCTCACAACAAACTAATAATGTGAGAGAGCACATCGTTATTTACTAGTAAAATCCAGATTTGCTTATATCATGTGGGTTCGCATAACTTTGAATAATAGTAATTGAGTTCACAAACAGATTTCATTTTATTTAATTATTTCCTATTGGTTAGTTATACCTAATCAGCATGATATGTACAAGATCTCCTAGCACACTCCATCTGCAAAATCCCACTAGAATCCAAACCCTATTGTCTGCACTAATCTCTCTCCAATCTTCAACAACTTAATATAGTTAAATTCACTTCAAACCTTAACTCAACAGCTTAGCGCTTATCGGTCCTTCACGACTTAGTACAAAATAACCGTTTTTATATGCAGTCACTTAATAATACTATAACGCAAAAGCCAAAAGGAAAATCCCAAAAGCATGGTAAGTTCGAGTGGTAAACCAGAGGCTTTTAGAATGAATTCCTAGCATACTAAAGGCTTGACAACAACATTTTGTGGTCTCGTGTTTCCAGCTAATACATTCTATCAACATCCATCCACACAACTGGTCAAAGGAAAGGCATGGCGGCCTTTTCAACGTAAGACAACAGGTTTGTTTGAACATGAAATACAAACGACGATGTGGAGCTTGATCACATATACTATGTAGTAAAATTAGGTGCCAAAATAGACTGCATTAACTTAGCATCGAAGTAGAACATCTTAGCATGTATTGCACAAATCGTGCCAAAATAGACTCCAGAAAGCTATCTGCACTCCTCCATTATAAAAACACATGGAAGTCGTCACACTTGACGGAGTACCCGTGATAACTTCTTGACTTTGAGACTCTTTTGGAGTGTCAATAGCAACTTCCGTTTAGAATTGGCAATCATGTATGCAAACTCATCCGATTAGCAAATCGATATGTAGAAAGTTCACAAAACTAAGATATTTAACAACAAAAGCATATTTTAGCAAAACAAATTCTGTATGATATAACATTTCTAACCTGTGATTAAACCCCAAATCTCCAGATAACAAAGAACAAAGAACAAACCTACATATCTCTCATTCTCATATGTCCCATTTACAGAACAAAGATAATACCCTATCTTTAACCGGCGGTGGACCATTTTCCGTCCACCAGCCGGTGATTGAATAAACCCCTCACCCAGAATGTACAAAGTTATTGTCTTTTTATAAAATTGAAAATTAAAAGCTCTAAACACTAAAACGACTGCGTTTTGAAGCTTGACCTACCTGAAGAAACTTCAGAAACTTCTCCACCTAGGGCTTGATACAGGAACTGTCGGCGACAGCGGCAGCTGAGGAAACCCTAATTGATTTGGGGAAAGCGATGGGTACGGCGATCGCGGCGAACTCAAGCACCCGAAAGGAAGCGGCGATGGAGGCATCGCGAACTGCGGCTGTGACGCTATCGCCGCCGTTGTCTGCTGTTGTTGATTCGCTGCTGTACCTATCCCCTGCTGCGGCGGCACAACCTGCTGATTCTGCTGCGGAGGCGGCGTCAGATTGGTCCAACGGGGCGAGACAAGCGGGGCCAGAGGCGAGAATCCCGAGAACTTCTGGTTGTTAGAATCGACGGCTAGAGATTGAGTTGTGGAGGTACCGCATGTAGGCTGAGACGGGGGATTCAGCCGCCGCGTGTACGGTTGGGAAAGGAGGGAGAGGCGAGAGAGGGGTTGTGGACCGTCCGATGGAATTGAAGTGAGCGGCGGCGGATCCCATGGGTGGGATGATTGGATTGTTGGTGTTTTGGGGTGGAGCGGCGCATTCTAACGAGGGAGGGGGTCGGTTGTTAAGCTGCGCGAGAGGGGGAGGGCGGATGCGCTGGAGGCGGGAGCTGATTTGTGGCTTGGGCAGGTGAACCGGCGGCTGGGGGTTGGAGAAGCGGTCGTGGGCGGGAGAGCCGGTGAGCTTCTGAACGACGTCGCGGAAGTCGTTTTTGTTGATGTTGTAAACCGGCGGCTGGTGCTGATGCTGCTGCTGCTGCTGGTGTTGGGGAGGAAGAGGAAGCGGAGGAGGCGGCGGCGGTGAGTTTTCAAAGTTGGGTTTTTTAAGGAAGGTGTTGTGGGTGTTGGTGGTGGTGGGGGGTTTTGAGATCTTGTGGGAAAGCTTGTTGAGGTGTTTGAGGTAGTTCTCTGTGGTGGTGGTGGTGGTGGAGCTGCCGCCGCCGCCACTGGAAGCGGCAGTAGTGAGAGCAGCTGAATCAGTAGTTGAAGAGGGACAGATTTTATCCATAACAAAAAAGCAACACAAAATCACATACAAACACAGCAGACTCTCTCTCCTTCTCCCTCTCTCCTCTCAGTGTCTGAGTGAGTAGATCTGAAAATATCTGACGGGAAAGAAAGAAGGGGGTTGTTGGCCTGAGTGTGGTGGGCAATGAAAAATGAGGATAATACAGTCGGCGAGTAGGGACAAGTGCGGACTGGACCATTTATTTATATGGAATTTTAAATAATTGCTTTTATTTTTTGAGTTTTGATTAAAGTTTAAAATGTGTTTATTTTAGGAAAAAAGGAAATAAAAAAATAAAGGAAAAGGGGAATTAAGAAAAAGAAAATAAAAGAAAAGAACCAAAAAAAAAAAAGCAGTGTCTTCGATCTTTGGTCTTTTTCACTTAAAAGAAGAGAAGAGACATGACCCGAAATGCAAGCCAAGCATCTATTTCTCACCTTTTAATCTCTCTAATCTCTATCCAAATTATTCTTTTCGTAATTAAAAAATATTATTTTAGTTGTGCTACAAAATTAACAAGGTATGAGATAACCGACGTATAATATTTATTTCGATTTTAATCATACAATAAATTAAGAAGTTACAAGAAAATAGGCATATCATGTCTACTTTTTTGATACATTGCTATACGAACAATTTTTAGTTTTTATAAGTGTAAATTGCTTTATGAGGTTCACATTATCAAAGTTTTTCACCATCAAAACAAACACGATTCGGACAGAAAGATTTTTAATGCCATTATATAATTTTCTTCGCACAAAATAATCCCTTTTCTGATTTTTTTTACTGTCTTTGTTGAATAAAGGAGGTAATAATAACACCTGCTGATTTGTTTGGTAGGGATTAAGCATTTGTTGTACACTGATAGGCTATGTCTTTAATTGTGTTGGGTATTTTCCAACCTACCAAATAAAAATGTTGTCTTTTTTAGAATTAAAAATTTTTCTTAAACCATTTTCAAGGGAGATGCTAAATTGTGAATATAAAATTTATATTTGACAGCATATGTGACACTTATAAAATTTAAATTTTCTTAAACCATTTCCACTGGATTACTGATCGAGGATATCAAAACTAGCCTAAGGGGATTTGACTCTCCTAGAGTTGGTCATGTTTGTAGATCCACCAATTTTGTGGCACATAGGATGGCCCAGTTGATTTTAACTTTCAATTTTACTAGTTTGAGGAGCCCCCGGATTTTCTCCAAGCTTCCTTCATTCATGATTGTATGTTTTCTTAATGCTTATAGTTTCCTCTTCAAAAAAAATTCTCTTCTTCACCCGATATACCAAACTTTAAACGTAAAATAAATGTTCATATTTATTTTCTTTGCATTGTTAAAAGAAAGAAAATGACCTAAAAGGTGTAAAAATATTTAATATTACTTTGGAAAGAAAAGCAACGAAAGGGCAATGTTTTTTTTAATAAAAAAACATATAATAATTAATTAAAAATTATCACTTAGTATTACGGTTTAGTGATATTCATCTTTACTTGTAAGTGAGAGGTCTTAAGTTCGATCCTTCGCCAAAAATAAATTTGAACCACATTATTGCTAGACCATTGTGAGCCTAGGCTTACCCATTTTCCCATTAGTGTAGATAATATCATTTGTTAAAAAAATAATTAAAAATTATTTAAAGCTGCTGTGAAATTTGACAGCAACCAACCATTTCACGTTATGCCACATAGAAAGCATCACTGTAACGATAACGATAACTTTGTTATATAAAAATCTCTCTCATCATGCTCATCTCACTTTAAGACTTATTAGCCCATGTTCCATAACCTTAGCCCATCCTATGATTCCTTATCAATGTGCTTCAAAGTTCTCATTTCTCTGGGTATAAACAGATAGATAGGCATAGGCACAGGCATAGCAAACCATTCCTTTTTCTTTTTTTTTGGTCAAGTAGGATATATTTCGTGACATTAAAAACTAGTACAAGTTTAAAAACAATCGGATAAATAACTACAATAAAGTAAAAGGCTCACGAAAAATGAGAGCAACCCAAGATACAATAGAAGGTCCACACAAATTTAAACTCAAAGGCTGCAAAATACAAAACAATAAAAAATCCTAATCTCCAGCAGTAAAGACCACAAGTCATCATGTCGCTTTCTCATAAAGCCAAACTCCAAACTGAAAAATGTATAGAATCTTATTTTCTTGCCCAGTAGTTTTTTTACGTGATTATTTTCGAATGAGGTTTTTTCTTAGATCCCATTCCACAAGACATTTCCTGATATATACTCTTTCTAAGTTTATTCGTGAATGAACTCCAATTTTATTCGCTAAAAAAAGTTAATTGTCACATCCCAAACTATCTTACAAGTTTGTAGTCTAGACGGCATAGACTACAGTACTAATAAAGCTAGAGCATCACCACACATGTTTCAAATAAAACTCGTTTTACGAAACTCGACAATTTGACATGTTTAATTTTTATTATTTCATCAGTCGTCATCGTTTAGCAGCTCATTTTAGTGATATTCTACTCCACATTTTAAGTTAAAATTGTACTTTTATTTTATAGGAAACTGCAAATAAGTTGTTATTTGCTACTTGCCTGTAGGCTATAGCAGGTAAGGTGTGTCCTGTAAAGCCTACAACCATACTCAACCTACTAATGCGACAAATTATTTTTATGTCTTAATTATATATATATATATATATATATATATATATATATATATATATAATGAGAAATCCAAATAGATGAAGCATTCGAAAAACTCTAAAATGTCTTTTTGTTTTCTTCAAAAGTGAATCCAACCAAATTCAAGAAATGAAGACAAACTGGTAAAAGTTTATAATTGAACATAACTTTTAAACCGATGCTATCGTGCGACTTGACATGATGATGAACATGGCATCGGATTTTAAACTGCTATGAGTTGTAAACTGGAGAAAACGCGTGAGACTCTCTCTCTTGTTTCCCAACCCTGCAAACTCCTTTGTCACCGACCCCAAGCCTTTGGCTTGGGTGCCGGTGGCCATCCTTGTCCAAGTTCCTTGTTCTCCTCTTTCCCTCCTTCTTTTGATCCTCTTCTCTCTTTTTCAATCCTCCCTTGAGATTTTTCTCATTTCCCTTGAACCATGTCTCAAATTTTCCTGTGAGTTTGTCTCACTTTTGGACTTCATGTCCTTCCTCTCCAACCTTCTCCTCTGGTGGTTCCTTTCCAAACCTAAAACTCCATCTCCCCTCACTTTTTCCCTCTGCCTCCCTTCCCCATAAACCATCCCCACCATCATTTGCTCTGATCTGCAGACTCCAGGCCGAATATGGTTGCCAACTTTATTTCCATCCCTCACTGTCCCCCTCCAAAACGACTTGCCGGTTACCATCGAGGCCAAGTGTACTGCGGCTTCGACCAAAGTAAGGGTATTTTACATACCCCCTTAACCTCACCTTCTATATATGTGTTACTATGTTTGTATATATTTGCTGGGATTCGTGAATGAGATTTGGATCTGATGACTATATTTTGGTTATGTGTCTTTGGTGAAGAATTCTGGTGTGGTGTACTTCTTATTGCAGGTTTGATACTTATGTGATGCGATGTCTTGTTTGTTTTCATCACTCGGTTGTTTTCTCTAGTGTTATTGCTTCGATAGCTACTGGCAAGACTTTCGTGGCAGTGACAGTGGTAGACACTACTTTCTGCTATAAAAAAAATTAAGGATTTGAGTTCCCGTTTAGTTTATTTACTTGAGCTATGCTTTTATGTATCTGTTTTTCCAATATATTTGAGTTATTTTATCTTCATTTGAGTTGACCTATAATCTACTATTGGATTAATACAATACCCAACTTTTACCAAAAAAAAAAAAAAAAAGCCTGCTATGAGCAGTTGCCTTTAATGGATTGTCAGTCTTATCTTCAGTCTGTATTTGCTTCCACCTTATTTTCTTCACTTTTGTTTTGGCTTTTGATTTCTCTCTCTCTCTCTTTTTGTCCTGCGTTTTGATGTCTTATTTTAGGCATAAGCCTGCTGCCTTTCCTGTTAGCTCTCGCGAATTTTTTTCCCTCCTATTCTTATTTTCTTCTCTCTCATCTTTTCACTTTGTTTTTTTTTGTCTCTATAAACAATCAGTATAAGATATTGATGTAACTTAGGAGGGGTGTTTTCAATTAAGATTTTGAGGAATTTTAATTCTTTTAATGAATCCAAGGGTATTCAATTAGGATTTTAAGTGATTCTCTGAATTTTAATGTGTATTCAATCATGATTTTAAGATAATTTATTAAAGTCCCGAGTGTGTTCAATTAGAATTTTAAAGAAATTTATAACATTCCAAGTATATTCAATTAGAATTTGAATTTAAAGAATTTGGAAAAGTTGAGGAATTAGAGAGAATTGAAGATATTTTGTAGTGTATTTTAAGTATCCACAAATCTCATATCTCTCCATGAGAGTTTGAGAGAATTAAATCAAAATTTTACATAAAATCTCTACAAATCAGTTAAATTTCATAAAAATCCATGCGTTTATAAATCCATTAAAATCTCTCAAATTTCCAATTGAGTACACCCCTGAATCATAACTGTTCAAATAAAAATGAAAAGGAAGAGAAATTAAGAAGGGAGCAAATCCTTCCCACTCAGAGCGGTTGAGGGTGTGCCCGCTCAGAGCGGTTGAGGGTGTGCCCGGTAAGTTTGTCGTATGACAGATGAGTGACAACGGCCCATCTCATTTTTTAGGACTCACAGGCCCAAGATTGTCAGTCTGACTCTACGCTTCCTCACTCTAATCATCAACTTATCATTATCAATTTTTACCTTTTACCATCTCAGTAACTCAGTTAAAAATTCCCAGCTTCCAGACGGTATACAAACCAAAACCATCCATACGCTTCGTTTCACTTCTCTCTCCTCTCTTATCCCTGCTTGGCGGCCTCGCATCTTAAAACGCGAGAGCAGCTGAAGCATATCAGATTTTCATCAATGGCGGAAACGCAAGCCGACAAAATCCAAACCCTAGCCGAGGTACCATTCCAATCATTTCCTTTATCTCCTCCAAATGTTCCAATTTCGTTCATGGAAATGCTCTCTGTTTACTTCGATCTAGATGCTAATTCTTATTGCTTTTTCAAAGTGAAAATTTTGAAATTTTGCTTCCAATTGTGGATCTGTGGTTTGGTGTAATAAGATTTTGCTTCTTTAATTTGTTGTGTAAATGTAGAGCTTAATTTTCTGTAGAAAAAAGTTAAACGAAGTGCTTTTTTTTTTTCATTGAAGCTGGAAAAAATTTCATCTTTTGTTGCTTGTAGGTATCCTTTCTTGTGTAGATTATATTAAACCTTCAGAATTACGTGAAAATTTTGATCAACAGTCGCATGATGTGTGCTTAATTTGTGCTTTTAATGCAACTAAATATTGTTATAGACAAGTTTTAGGTTTTGATTTACTCTGTTTGGTATGCCTTTCAATTTGTTTTGAATTATTTTTAAGTTGTGCAAAGTTTATTGCTTTGGTAAGCAATACAATTCCTGGATACTCTAGAGGAGCATTTTTAGGCCAGACAGTCAATTAGGTAAGAATTAAGCCACACTGCAGTATTAGGCTCTAAAACAAGTAAACAGTTTGTGTCAGGACTCAGTATCCTGGACGGAGTAATATCACCTTGAAAGAAATACGCTCGTAGAAGATTCTGTTGAAACTTGACATGTGTGGAGAAAACAATTAGAGCATGTCTTTGGTACTATAACAAGTGTGACTACGTCATGTTATAATGTCGAGTTAGTCCTGCCACATTAAAGCAAGCCTGAGTTTGGGAAAGCACAAAGTAGGGTAATATTTCTGGTACTATATTAGCACTAAGAAAATTTGCCACTGTGATTGCGGGATGTATTGGGATCATCTAGGACTCAAATGCTTGCAAAATCATAGTGGATGGTAGTGCCCACTTCGTTTGTACTAAACATTCTTCCACGAAGTAGGCATGAGCTGTTGTGGTGCAGTTGGATCATTTATGTGCTTGTTCCTAACCAAACTAGTGCTGAAAGTTATCCCCTTTCCTCGTCTCCTTCCCCAGATGTGCAACCAATCTAGTTGTATTAATCTTATAATCACTCATCAGTCTAGTTGTGTTACGCTAAGAACTAGCGCAGGGCCTGCTATCTGTGCCATGTGGCTGTTTTCTGGAGAATCATAAAAATCTTCCAGCCTTCTACTTACTGACATTACTTTAACATGCTTTGTTATATGCTCTCCTTTGTTAGTCCTGTCTTTTAATGGCATAAGATTAGTAATGGCTAAGTGTTTCCCTCTCATACTTTGACATACAGCAATACGCATTGGAGAAAGATGTGGGTACCAAGCCTGTTGAAGTAAAAGAAGTTGTTTCTGAGAAACCTGAGGAAACACCTGCTGCTGCAGAAGAAGAAAGCTCTGAAGTTACACCAGCTGTTGAAGAAAGCAGTGAAGCCAGTCCTGCTAGTGAAGAAGGCACTGAAACCAATCCTACCTCTGAAGCTGCTGCTGAAGAAAGCAGTGATAGTACTGACAACTCAGGTGACCAAGAAGTAGTTGAAGAGACACCTGAAATTAAGGTTAATCACCTATAAAGATATCAGTAATTTTCTTTTGTTTCCCTACCATAGTGCATACCTCATCTTATCTTTTGTCTTTATATGTTTGATCTGCTCACTGTCATTCTATTTTCATGTCCAGATTGAGACAGCACCAGCAGATTTCCGTTTCCCAACTACCAACCAGACAAGGCATTGCTTTACCCGATATATAGAGTATCATCGGTATGTATACAATGAGTGCCCCCCACCCCCATACACACATGCACACCACTCCTTTCTGTTATTTGATCACCATTTATCACGTACATTCTAGCTTGGTGCTGAGGTTTTGACAAAGGTTTCACTGGTACAATTATTTTAAGGTGCATAGCTGCAAAGGGGGAAGGTGCTCCCGAGTGTGACAAATTTGCAAAGTTTTACCGCTCTCTTTGCCCTGGTGAATGGGTATGTAATTTCAATGCTCTTTCAGGTCCTAAAATTGTAATGTTTGCTACTATTATTGAAAGTATGGCCTTCTGCATCCCCTACATGATGAATCATGTTCGGTTCTTACTTTAGTTTAGTTAAATTTCCTTTGCTATTGGAGAAGTTTGCCTTCTAATTGTCGATCTTATAGTGTTCTAAGTGGTGACAAATCTGGAAGGAGGGAAAACAGGTATTTAGTTGACAAGGCCACAATCATTTGACACTATGTGTGAAATAAAGGAGCCCCACAATTTGTTGGGCTTAATGTTTTGCTCAAGTTGATCTCTGTACTTAATGGCTTAATGTTTTACTCATGTTGATCTCTGTACTTTAAATTTCAGATCAACTCTTTAGCCATTCATTGATACTGAAGTAGCGTTCATATTTTTGTAATGCGTTTTATTCTAGAAACTGAACCTAATGGATAAAATAGTTTTCTCAATTGGATTGCCTTGCTTTTTTCATTTTTTCGTTTGACTCGCCTTGCTGTTTTGTCTATATTTGGGAGAGGTTAGTGCTTCAAATACTGTTGTGAAATCAGAATAGTATGTGTTGTATAACAAGTTATTAAGCAGTTCTATTATGCTTATAGTTGATATCAATTGTTTCTACTCTAGTTTACACAAGATACGAAGCAAAATCTTATTAGAATTTCTGTTGAGATGTTTTCAGTGCGTGGACCATTGCTGTTTTTACAGTTTCTGCTCTTTTATATTTAAGTTTTTGCTGCTGGGAGGAGAGAGAATATACCACAATCTGTGGCGAGTGCTTGTGAATGTTTTTTTTAAGTGGGTGTGATTTTGTTTGCCTGCACTTCAGGGACGTGGGCAGCCAGTCTCACTCAACATTGGAACTTTAATTATTCCTCATTTTAAGGATTGACGATTATACTTTCAAGCGTCCCGTTCTGGTGACCAAGAGAACATTTGTGATATTTTCAATATGGAAAGTGTTATTGACGCTCCAAAAATCTCATTCTACACTCCTCACAAGTGTATTTTTCTTTCTTAATATAGAAAGTTTGGAGTGTAGAATGAGATTTTTTGGAGTGCTAATAACAATTCCCTTCAATATTTGTCAAAATGGATAAAGTTCCTTGTTTGGATGAAGTACCCGATCTTGAGTATGGAATAGAACCTGTGAACACGCACTTATAGCTCAAGACATTTACCAATGTGTGACTTAGTTACTGGTGTACCCACACGTGCATCTGTTTGTGCTGGTGTTGAGTTTCCTTTTGCTTATATGTTTACATGCTATAAGGAATTGTTATTGTATTATATTCAGTTCAGGTTTTCTAGTTGGCTACTTCTCTCTCGTAAGTCTTGTATTCCTGAGCAGTGCTAAAGTTAACAGTGTTCTTGTTGTACTGTTTGTATGTATCAGGTTGAGAGATGGAACGAACAAAGGGAGAATGGAACTTTTCCAGGTCCCCTGTAGATGGTGTTGGCTTAAAAACTAAGCGTTGGTAATATCCAAGGTTTCCTCCAATAGATGAGTTTCTACATTGAGAGTTGAACTCTAAGGGAATGCCCTATTTAAAAACAATGAATGAATAAGAAATTTTGGCTTGTTTCAGAATACAGCAAAACTGTAGCTCATGAAATGAAGTTTTTGTTCATCACTAAAAGATAGTTTCATTTCTCATTATTTTGTGCATGAGCTGTTGTAAAACAGTTGCCGAAACCCCGGATGGAAGCTAGGTGACATTTGTTAAGAGCTTTCTGCACATGCCACACAGTAAAGATGCACTGTGCCTTGCTGATATTGGTTTTTTCAGTTTTATCTAAATTTCAGTTCATGAAATACTTATATTTAGATTGAAATGTGTGGTAAACTTGAAATATCTCCGTAGGTAAGCTTCCCGTATAGCAGTGCCACGATTAGAGAGGATGAAGAGGATGGCTGCACTTTTGAAACGTCATGATCACAGAGGGGACAAAGAGAATAGAATAGGGAGTCATACAAATAGGGAGGGAGAAGGGGAGAGTATTAAGAAGATGAACAAACTAAATTAGGTCAGCTTTTGTGAAGTATGGTGGATATTAGTATGGTGGATATTTTGGTAGTTTGAAGCAAGAATTCATTAAAAAGAGAAATGCCAGACAACAGTTGCTGGATTGGTGCAGTTGATATTACAAAAAGACATTGGCTTATGTATGGGTATCCCAGCATACAATCGATTTTTTTTTTTAATACGTTATAATCGTCTATACATGTTCATATTTTCTCACCATGAAGTAAACCAATTACTTGTTTTTATGAGTTTACTATATACATATACAACTATGAGGGATGCATTCATAATGCTAGTTCTTGCAGACTTACAAAAGTAATTGCATAATGTTTTCAGGTTGAATTATGAGAGAGATCAAATTTAATAAGATTTTTTTTGGTCGAAAATTTAATGAGCTAATTGTAGAGAGATAATGATGTATTTGGAGATTTAAGCTCTCACAAATTCTCATAACATTCAATAAGCGGCTCCAATTTTCTTGACTAACTAATGCATACCGTAAACTTTTGTGAAACTTATTTGATGGATACTCTCTAACAAATAATGGATGGTATACTTTTTTCACTACAGCTGGTAATTCAATATTGTTCTTACCATTAAGTTTCCTCCAAAATCTCATTTTCATTTTCAAGAGCAGTTGTTTTTCTAAAATGTCAAATGTTGTAAATTTTGTTCTTCATGTTTCAATGGATTCAGTCCACTACATATATGGTGCACGAAAATTACACTTGGTACAGGGTAATATTTCATACTTTCAATATGAATGCCGAGTTTTCATTGGAACATTTCATTTGCTTTAATCTTAAATACATGGTTCAATACTTGTGCATAAACTCGAGCATGATTTGTGTGATTTGATTTTTTTATTATATTATGATGCTAAAAGTCTAGACTCTCTAGACACTTCCTTGGATAAAACTAAAGGAGAATTAAGAAATAAAATCAAATAAAAGAGTGCATGACACCCAAATCAAGGTGTGATGGCCAAGAAGCGAAACTATAAAGTGTGAGTGATGTGAAAAGAAATACGAGTAAATTAAAACTAGAATATAACGAACAAGAGTGCAGTTAGCTAGTTAGAACACTTATTACAAAGCATAGTGTTAGAGCATAAGTATGAGTGCATCATAAAGTAAAGAATATTCTCATTCTAAAAGGACGGATATTTATACAGACAAAAAATTAACTTTCCACATTATTGGAAGTGCTAGTCAGCTAAAGGCAGTTATTCTTTTCACCACAAGAGTTCAACCTCTAGGTCCTAGAGGGGTGCAAAAAAAAAAAAAAACGTGAGTGGGCTCAAAAATAAATTTTTGTAAAATCGTTGATTTTAATAAAATATTAACTCCTCATTGTAAAACTTGTATAGGTTTTGAAATCATACTACTAGTAAATAAGAAGCAAAGTACACAAAATAACTGTAATAATCTCTAAGGATACTAGTACAACATATATATTAACAACAATAATATCTACAATGCTCATTAAAATCATTAAGCACACAAGTGATATAGAAAGTAGCTACATGAACGTGTTGGGTATATAAGTTACGTTCCAATACTACAATCACGTGAAGCTGGTACTAAGCACGTACATTCGTGTCGTCCTAGTTACCTAGTGCAATCTAGGGATAAGCTAGCACCTACTATGGATTCAATGTGAATGTAAAGGCGTTTGTAAACATACACATGAAGTTGATTCTAATCCGAACAATACGAATAAACAAAACACCATGTAGACATTTATAGTGAGTAGATAAGGCACAGGTATGAGTATGCCACAGTTTGTAACTTACCCACAAGATACTAATAAAATAATATTGTTTAAACATATATATTTTCTAAGTCAAGACATGGCATGTCACACAAACATTCAAAAGCAATTATGAAAATTATAATATAATATACTTGAAAGAAAAAATCCACTCACTAATACGTTGCAGGGTCGTAGCCATCTTGCCTTGCTTGCGCACAAAAATTCTCAGGATAAGTTTCTCCTATACGAGAAACCACTATACTAATCATTACATAACAAATACTAATGTAAAGCACCTAACTTCCTTTTGCTTGCTTAAAAAAGGGGGTTGAAAATGCTTGAGAAGGGATTTAATATAATAAAAAATAAAATAAAAATAAAAAAGTGCTAAAAAATGACGTGCGGGATTTGGGCGTTCATCACACACTCTCTCTCCTCTCCCTTGCTATTTAGTTGTATTTCTTAAACTGAACAATGAGTACTTTTGAAATTAAAAATATGTACTACACTACTTCTTAAACTAGTACTATCATTATTTTGAAACTAAAACAGTTACTGCACTATTTCTTAAATTGACTATTTATGAAATTGAACATGGATTTTTTTTTTTAAACTGAACATGGGTTAGCGTGTGCCTTGCAAGCGTTTTTGGTTTGTTTTTTTTTTTTGGTTTTTCCTTTTCTTTCCTTTGTTCTTATCATAAGTTATTAGATGATTTTTGATTAAAATTCAAAATTTTAAATAGCTTTTTATTTGTTTTTCTTAAAAAAATAAGAAACATATAAAATAGCTTGAATTTAAGAAAAGAAATGAAGTTGTCGGTTATTAATGAGTTTAAAAAATATATTTTAATTTTCACTTGATTACTCGCCTTCTGCGTTCCCCATATCAAATTTCTATGGCTGCTAATGGAGTGGTTCAACATTACCAATACTTTTCCTATTGATTTAAAGATTCGCGTTTTCTCCAAACAAAAAAATAGAAGGTTTTTAATGAATAACTTTTGAACCTGCCTGCAGACGAACCGTGGGACGTTTGGACAAATTATAATCAGCCAAAATCGAACGGGAAAATGGCAGAAGACTAACACAGATACTGCAAAATCTCACAATTACAAATACAAACCGCATTTATCAAGTCAATAGAACTTCGAAGAGGTTCAACACAATTGCAATTGCAACCAATGAAAACCATGTATACTGCAAATCTCACAATTACAAATACAAACCGCATTTATCAAGTCAATAGAACTTCGAAGAGGTTCAACACAATTGCAATTGCAACCAATGAAAACCATGTCTCGATTTCTTAAGATTACACATTAAACACAAGAAACTATAAACCCTAAAAACACAACATATTCTAGTCCCATTAATCAATCAAATCAAAGCGCTTATGTTCTGCTTCTTCATCCCTTAAGCCCTCTCACCGCGGATTCTCCTGGCAAGTTGGATATCCTTCGGCATGATGGTGACGCGCTTGGCATGAATGGCGCACAGGTTAGTGTCCTCAAACAGCCCAACGAGGTACGCCTCGGCAGCCTCCTGCAGTGCCAGGACTGCGTGGCTCTGGAAACGCAGGTCAGTCTTGAAGTCCTGCGCAATTTCACGAACCAGCCTCTGGAATGGGAGCTTTCTGATCAGCAGTTCTGTGCTCTTCTGGTACTTGCGGATTTCACTGCGGCATATTCATAAACACATTACAATCACAATCCAGCAACATAAAATCATACGTCTTAAAATACCCAGAATTCTAATTACAAAACAAGAACAATCGATTACCGAATCTTAATTGATTTCAGTATTACCCAGAATCAAAATTACAAATTTTAAGATTAATTGGGTCGGTAATTGCGGATTCAATTACATACCGAAGAGCAACAGTTCCAGGGCGGTATCTGTGGGGCTTCTTCACGCCTCCGGTGGTGGGAGCTGATTTCCTAGCAGCCTGAGAAAATCCCAATACAGAATTAACAAATTGAAAGAAAACAAAGCAGATTAAAGAGGGCAACAATTAGGGTTTGAGGGAGGTATCACGGACCTTGGTAGCAAGTTGCTTCCTTGGAGCCTTGCCTCCGGTGGACTTGCGAGCGGTTTGCTTGGTACGGGCCATCTGCAACCACAAATTAAACCCCAACAATCAAAACCCAATTCGATTCTACAAAATCCCAATCTGAAACGCAACCCAAGAACCCTAATTCAAAATTGCAGAAGCAATCGCTATAAATTGAATCGAAGAAAATGAAGAACAGAAAAGCGAAAAGAAAGACTTACCTCTTGGGCTTCTTAGATTCGAGAAGACGGAAGCGAATTCTTGGATTTGGAGAGAGGAGATTCTGTCGTCAGAAACTTGGGTGCGAATTGAGATTTCGTATCTCTCTCCGTGTAAATATAGTGCTTGTTCAACAAACGCAACTTGGCGGCGGAATCGTGGACCGCGTTGTTTCGCATTTGCTGATTTGCCCCGTCGCCTGATCGGACGGTCACTGCGTCCGCTCGCTGTGTTTTTTACTATCGTTAGTGAACGGTTCGGATGTCATATTTTGCATGTGCCACGGATCGTGAAACTAAATCAGTAGCTTCCTATTGGTCCTAATCCTTTCATTCTCTCACCCGAGTTTAACAAGAAATAGATACAACTAAGAAAGTAATTCTCTTAAAAAAGAACAAAATTTTGCTTTCCACAATATACCCTTCGTTAGAACTCTACAAATAAAAATTAAAACATAAAAGTTTGTTGGTTATTTTAAATTGTTTTGTTTATTACTAACCTCATGCGACAATTAACTCTTTATGTATCACAGAATACTGCGCATGACTTATTCTAACATTCTATTTCACGCAAAAATGCATAGGACTGGAGGTTCTTTTCGCTT